GGGGATTCGAACCCGCCACCTTAGGTGTATGTGGCTGGCGCCTTAGCCGGTTGAGCTATAGGCGCTGAGCCCTCAAATTTTTTAAACAAGGGGCCAGTTCACTATCCCTCAGACTGTTGGAGGGCCGGACTGTGGGCCCCAGGACCAGTCGGTTGCTAAGCAGGACAGGCAGCTATGGCAAAAACACCCAGTGGGCCGGATGAATGGAATGTCCTAGGTGGGCTGCATGTGGCCCACGGGCCGTAGTTTGAGGATGCCTGGCAAAAATCTTTATTTCTTCCCAGCTTAAACAGCCAGTGCCACATGAACATGTTGTAAATGAATATTCATACCATTACCTCACTAACATATTGTAAAAAACAGACTTTTTTAGTGAGACACATTCTTATAAGTTATCTATTATACTCAAATAGGAGCCATGAAGAAGCAGACTGTTAACTCCCTAGCCCAGTTTTTGATAGATAGGGGGAAAAAAGGCCAATTGTTCTCAGCCTCAAGCCATCTGGAGGCAGTATCTTAACCTTGCAAAACCACAATTTAGAGATCCTGGCGACAAGCCAGTGATGTGCCTGCACGCTCCAGCCCCCTGGTCTGGGCGCAGGAATTTTACCTCCTTGGTGCCAAGCCATATGGAGTTCTGCCTCAGTCTCTCCTGAACTGTGCCAGGCAAGATTTCTACATGCTCACTCTCAGAAATGGTAGAGGCAGACATATGTGCTTTTCACTTATCATACCTGGCTATTTTTTGTTGCAGTTTGGCCAGGGCCAGGCTTGAACCCGCCACCTCCAGCATATGGGATCGGCGCCCTACCCTTTTGAGCCACAGGCACTGCCCTCCCAGCAGTGCCTTCTTAATGTGGTTTGTTGAAGGAAAAGTATGATCCTCTCAGGGTTGAAGACTTGACATTTGGGAGGGGGGCTGGCAGCCACACTAGATCTTCTCTCACTACCAGCCCACCTCCTTCTCTTGTTGAGAACCCAATTTTGTTCGAGCAACAACATACCCAGGACAGGAGAGATGGTCTAAACAAATCAAAACACTCCCCATTCCCATTGCTTGCAGGGAGGCCTCTGGGAAGACTTGGGACTTCTTTCCTGCTATCCTTGGGTAGCTCTGCTTCATGCCTCTGCTCTGGTTGGATGAGGGTGCACTGCTTGGTGCTATAGCAGCCATGTTACAATTGTGAGGCCCTAAACTGGAGTGTGAAACTGACTCCCAGAGGGTGGCAGAGCAGGAAAGGAAGAGGATGGGCCCAGGATGACATAATCAAGAGTAATCAATGTCTGTCCCTATAGCTTGGGTCGTATAAACCAGGTGTTTGCTACTTGGGGTTAAGGCTTTACTATCATGCAGGGTGGAAGGAAAGGTAATTCCAAGGGGGACAAAGGCCCTAGATGGCCAGTCTCCTGGGTGTCTGGTGGGCTTGATACCAAAGTTTGCCCAGGGATCTGGGGAAACAATAGCCAAATTAGGCAGATCAGTTTCCAGTCTTGTGACGGTGTCCTGTGGGCCTGGAGGGAGCCTCCAGAGGTTGGGCTTGCCCACAAGCTCTGGGCCCCCTTGGCCCCCTGACACAAGCAGAGCGAGCCTTGAGAAATAAACCATATTGGACATCTCTCCAAACATCAAAAGCTGGGATTTTATTTAGAAAAAAATTGTGCTGTGAATATTTCTTGGAACTTAAATGTTATGAACATGGCCCTGCTTGGTGGGGCCCATTACTTCTCCCCTCCCCTCCTCTTGCTCACTCCATTCCAGCCCCCTTGGCTTTGCTGCTATTCTTTACACATGCTGTTTAGTCCCCACAGGGCCTTTGCACTGGCTGTTCTGACTGCCTGGACATGTTCCCGAGGTGTCCTCTGTTAAGCCTCAGCTCAAATGTCACTTCAGAAAGTCCTTCCCTGACCTTTCAGCAAGCACGATGAATCTCCTAGCCTACCTATGATTACATGTATACAGATATAGGTCTAATTCCCATTGTTTGTTTTGCTCTCTAGAAGGTGAATGGCCATGAGGGGAGATGTGCAGAACAGTGACAGGCGCCTTGGAGCTGGCAGGATGTTTTGAAATACAAGAATTACCCTGATGTGTGCTATGTTATGTATGGCAGCAGGAAGCTGTGTCTTCATATTGAAGGGTCCAGCTCTGCCAGCAGGCAAACTCAGGTTTGAGTCTCAGCTCTGGGACCCTGGGAAAGAGTCATTCTGAGCCTGCTTCTGATAGGCCACAACCATGAACAGAGCAGTGAGAACTCAGAGGCTACAGCAGGCCAGGCAGAGGGACTGTGCTTTCCCAAAGTCTTGCCCTTGTTGGCTTCCTTTTTATAGGGACTTGGGACAGTAGGGACATTTGTGGTCATGAGAATGGCCTTCTTAGTAGATACACCATGTGCTTAGATGCCTATTGCCAGGGGGAGCTGGCATGAGTGTGAGGAAGTCACAGGATGTAGGACTCCTCCTAGCAAAGGAGTCACTGGTTCCAGCTGCTGGGTGGCCCAGGCCTCTGAGGACTGTCCAGTGGGAAGCCTGTTACTGTCTCTCCTCAGCTTCTCCTGTCGCAGATGGGGACAGTAACAGCTTGGACCTTGTAGGATCCAGTGGGTCTGGCCCAGGGGCCACAAACCAGTGACATGGCAAAACATGGACTGGCAGGTGAAGTCAGGCACCTGGTGACCACAGGTCTAGTGTGTCCTCAGGCATCAGTAGGGAGCACAGAAGGGCTGGCCCATCCCTGGGATACTGGTGGGCCCCACTGGGCAAGGACCACACACAAACCCCCTGCTGTAGCTTGGTGGGCTGGGAGTAGGCCTGGCCCCTGGGTCATCATTCCAAACTTCTTGGGAATGCTGGTCCCAGGCTCCCCATTGATAGAATCTTGGAACAGGGCCCAGTATGAAGCAAACACAAGCCGCAGTAGGCTGTCCTTTTAGCAGCATCCTCTACCCTCCCCTGAAGCCACCTGAAGAGGGCCTTGTGGATGGGGCCAGATAGGTACCAGGAACTATTCCTCCAAGCAGTCAGTTTATTTACTTAAAATACCTATTTCCTTGGAAGCAGCTGGGCTGTGGTGAAGAGGGCTATTGGCCCTCAGTCCCCCCGCACCTTCCTCCGCACAGCCTGCACCAGCAGCTCGGAGTAGTGTTCCAGCAGGGCGTGCAAGTCGGGGCTGGCCAGGGGACACAGGGTCGGTGGGGAGGGGGGCCTGGGTCTGGAGGAGGCCTGAGCTGGGGCCACGTCAGTCCCAACCAGCCAGTTGTTGGCCTCCAGCTGGCTGTGGATCCAAAGGAAGGTGGAGGCAAGCTCAGTCTGTACCTGCTGCAGCCCAGCGTCTATTTGATCAGTGGAGACCAGCTGTGAGGGAAGGTAACCTTGTCAAGGTCACCTGGGCCTGGTAGCCCAAGGAGTCCCCTCCACTCTTTCCCCAAGCCTTGGCTTACCATGTGGTAGAGGTCAAGTGCTTCCTGAAAGGCAGTCTGCAGCCTGTGCAAGATGTTCCCTACACTGCTCAGCTCAAGGGGAGCAGGGGACAAGGCCTCAGCTGGCACCCCAGGCTCACCCCAGTGCCCAGGGCTGCCCCAGCTCAGTCTCAGCACATCTAGGGTAAAGAGGATGCAATGAGCAAGATGCAGCTACTTTCCAGCTGGTTGGAGAGAGGCCAGGCTGGCTGGCCTGATTCCAGGTATTGTCCCTCTGTCTGGAACACTTCCCTCAGTCCCCAGGTGCCCATCCTCCCCCTCCTGCAGGTCTCTGCTCAAATGTAACCTCTCAGAAGCCTTTCCTCAGCATCTTGTTTAGAAGTACAACCACTGACACCCTTCTCACTCCCTGACCCCTTTATCTCTCTCCCCAGCACATGTCACTTCATGATACATTTGACGCTTTCCTTACGGACTTTGCCTACGTATCACCCCCAGGGAAGATGTCAGTTTTCTGTTATTTTGTTTACCATCATGTCCCATGTCCCTAGGGCCTTGAAAAAATCCCAGAAGGTACCAAATATTAAATACTTAAGTAAATAAATGAAGGAATGAATGGCACAGTCCCTGTGGCTGGGTCAAGTGTCTACCTTTGGAGTCCAGCCAACTAGAACAGGAGCTGAGCTTAGGGGACAATGCTTTGTTCCCAGAGTGGTACTCACCAGGGGAGTGCTCCAGGAGGGTGACAGTGTTATCAGGAGCCCCAGGCCTGGCCTCTGGAAGCTGGGGGATGTTAGGTTGGGCAGGAGGGTCGCAGGGCTCACAGGCTGGGAACCTTGGGAGAAAGGCAGAGCCGTGGAGCCTCAGGGTGCTCACATCCACCGGGCTAGGGCTTGGGAAGCTGGCTGTTGCGACTGTGACATCAGACTGCGAGTCCATAGGCTCCTGGGACCAGACACCGGTGGTGGGTGGGTCTGGCAGGGATTGGGGCAATAGCAGCCTGTCACAGACGCTTGACAGGGTCAGTCTTAGGCTGGCACGGGCGTCATGGTTGCCCCAGGAGTGCACGGCAGACTCTTGACCCTCACTATCTGAATTGGATGTTGGCGTGGTAGTGATGGCCTGGAGCTTCTGGCCCAGGGAGGCCAGCTCCCCCATGGATGACGGCCTTCGGAGGGGCCTGGCCAGCTCAGCCATGACGGGGCGCTCACTGTCCCCAAGGGAGATGCTGCGTGACACCTTGGCCCGGGAGCTGGCAGTGGCCTCCATGTAGGAACAGGTGGAGGGGACGTGGATACCCTGAGCAAGGCCCAGGGTGGGCACTGATGCTGGCGCTGGAGGCTTCCTGTCAGTGGGCAGCACTGAAGAGGAAGGGACACGGGGCGCCAGGTCTGTCAGGCAGGGAGCTGAAAAGGAAGCCGATGGTGCTCTCACAGCCAGCTGTGGAGCTGATGGGCAGAGTCCAACCCAGGGGGGATGCAGAGTCTAAATACACATACCCTACAGATTAGCTGGGCACCAAGGGCCACTTACTGAGAAACCCAGGATTGTTCATGTGGGCTTAGGGTATTCAGTGGGCACCAGGGCCTCCTCAGCCTCCCCCACTGAGAGGATCTATAAGCACAGCTCTGAGGTGAGACTGAGGCCCCTTGGCTCCCAGCCCTTTGTTCGAGGGAGGGAGCCCCAATACTCACATTGGTCCCATCTGGGGAGGTATAGCCAGTACCTGCTCTCAGGGGCTCTGCTCTGGGCTGGCTTCCCCCTCTGTCTGTGGGCTTGACCTCTGGAGACTTCATGAGGTGCTGGGGCAGCTGGGGAGGGAAGGTGTGGGGGAACCTATGGGGAGGAAGCCAGGTGGGAGAGGGCTACTCACTCAGCCTGCCCTGGGGTGCCTGAGGGACATAGCCCTGCCTAAAGGGGGAGGGTGTATGGAAAGCTGGAGGGAGGGGTGAGGGTTTACCAGCTTCTACCTGGATGTCTTCCGGAGGCTCGAGAGGAACTGGGCTGAGATGCTCAGTCGGGGATTGAAGTAGTCTTCGGTCTCAGAGGCTTTTAGGTCTCTTAGGGACCCATGGAAGAGCTCTAGGGATGATGCCAAGGGGACCCTCAGAATTCCTGCATCTAACCAGGCCTGGACCCAGGCAGACCTACTGAGCAGCAGGGAGATCCCCAGAAAACTCCAACAACAAAGGCAACATGTACACCCAGGAGCCAACGAAGCAGGGAGAGGGAGAGCTGCGCGGCTCAGTCCTTAAGAGGAAAGGTATGCTCCCCACCCCGCCCTTCCAGGGACAGCCCCACTTCAGCAGTGTCCGCACTGCCCAGACTGGACAGACAGCCCAGGCAGGGTTCAGAGTAGGGCAGGGTCTTACCTTCAGGGTGGGAGTCAGTAAGCGTCTCAAAGTGGTGGCGGAGGAACTTCTCCTGCTCAGGAGTCTGGGGCAGGGAGCTGTTGGATAAGCCCAGCCCCTCAGGCTGGGACAACTCTTCTCCTGTGGTACCTGGGCATTCTAGGGAGAGGTGACGGGGGAGGGAGGGTGGAAGAAGAAAGAAGTTGTAAACATTGTGAGTCACAGCAGGTGCCACCTGACGCTAGAGAAAGCTGGACTCGCCCATCACACACCCCATTGCCACCAGCCTGAGAAAGAAAGACTTGTGGCCCAGGGGACTGAGGCTCCGTGAGCACCAAGTTTGGGGCTGGTGTGCAGCCAGTGGATACATGCTGTGACCATCCCGAAGACAGCACTAGATTCCTGTAGAAGCCTTCTGACATGGTTATGACTTTATAGAAATCCAAGCTCAGAGAGGCAAGCTTCTTACTCTGGGCCCTGGCTGGCATGTCTGGCCCTGCTTACCTGGTGTTGGGGGTGTTGCCATGGCAAACCGAGGGTCTGGGTCAGGCTGTGGAGGGGAGCAACAGGCAGCGGCAGAGCTGCACTCCAAGTCAGCCTCTGAGTCCTCCGAGTCTGAAGGGGCAGAGGGTGGGGTCAGGACTGGGGCTATTTGGGAGAGCAGGGCAAGTGGCTCAGCTTCTCTGTGGAGAACGGGATGACCACAGTGCCTGCTCCCCATTTGTATGGACAAGCAAAGTTGTGTGCATCACGGAGGTAGCAGAGCTGGGTCCTCAGCCAGCGGACAGTTGGGCTCTTGGTTCCTCAGGAAACATCAAGGACCACATCTAGGGACAGATTCTAGGCCAGGCGTCCTCAAACTATGGCCCATGGGCCATATGCGTCCCGCCAGATGTTTTTGCCACTGCTGCCTGTCCTGCTTAGCAGACGACTCATCCCGGGGCCCGCAGTCCGGCCCTCCAACGGTCTGAGGGACAATGAACTGGCCCCCTGTCTAAAAAGTTTGAGGACCCCCGCTCTAGGCTTTAGGAGGACTGGGTCAAAGTCACTCTCAGTGCTCAGAAAAGCACTTGTGGCTGATTCAACAAGGCCATCACAGGATCCTTGCCTGCCCCACTCACCCTCAGGTGGGCTCTGATCCTTCGAGCTGATGGAGGAGACCCGGAGATAGGAGTCACCGTGCTGGTCCCCAAGCCCTTCCTCTGCCTCCTTGTTGCAGTATTCGCTGTAGTGCCGGTGGGTGTGGAGAGAGAGAGCAGTGCCCCACACTGGCTTGTAAATACCCAGAAGCCCTAGGTACCCACACCCTCCTCCTAGGGGAGCACTGCCTCAGCCCCTCATGCCTCCTCCAAATGCCTCTTTCCCCCAGGAACCATGGAAACTGAGGCTGCCTCTGAGGCCACAGGGCTAGGTTCTTGCCCCATCCAGGCCTCACCTGTCCCCATTCCCTCAGGCCCAGTGGGAAAGCAGAGCATGGGCCCTTACGGTGTACCTGTCAGCTGAGGCTTCCTCCCTCCTACTAAGGCTCCTTTTTGGTGCAAGGGACACCCACCTGTCCATCCCTGTGACTGTCACTTCCGCCTCCAGGGCGTAGATGATGAGTTCACTGGCCTCGGATGACTCCCTCTGCTGAGACAGGAAGGAGGGATGCCCGCAGCTATTCTCCTGGGGACTTTCTGACTATGAGGTGAAGAGAGCATAGTGCTTCTGAGGCAGCCACAGCACCCAGGGCCAATAGTGGCAGAATGGGGATGCTGTGAGCCAGCCTGTGCCAAGTGCCCTGCTTATCACCTGTGAGCTCGTTCTATGCTCCCCTGTATTATCAGTTCCCTCACAGATAAGGCACAGCTATGGCTCCAAACATGATTAGACAGAGGTGGTTCTTCTTTTTTTTGTTTTGTTGAGACAGAGTCTCACTCTATTGCCCTAGGTAGAGTGCTGTGGTATCAAACAGCTCACAGCAACCTCCAGTTCTTGGGCTTAGGCAATTCTCTTGCCTCAGCCTCCTGAGCAGCTGGGACTATAGGTGCCTGCCACAATGCCCCACTATTTTTTTTATTGCAGTTTGGCCGGGGCCAAGTTTGAACCTGCCACCCTTAGTATATGGGGCTGGCACCCTACCCATTGAGCCACAGGCCGCCCAAGACAGCAGTTCTTAACCTGTGGGTGGCAACCCACAGGAACTGTATTAAAGGGCTGCGGCATCAGGAAGGTTGAAAACCACTGCGATAAGAGGTCTGACTCTCTTGGGGTGTGTTTTACATGAAGTTCAAGAACAGGCAAACCAATCTATGGTGAGAGGCTAGAATAGGGGTTATCTTGGCTGGGGATACTGACCGGGAGGAGCACAAGGGGATATTCTAGGAGTAAGAAATGGTCTTTCTTTCTTTTGAGACAGAGTCTATGTCGCCCTTCGTAGAGTGCCGTAGTGTCACAGCTCATAGCAACCTCAAACTCTTGGGTTTAAGCAATTCTCTTGCCTCAGCCTCCCAAGTAGCTGGGACTACAGGCACCTGCCACAATGCCCAGTTATTTTTGTTGCAGTTGTCATTGTTGTTTAGCTGGCCTGGGCTGGGTTTGAACCTGCCAGCCTTGGTGTATGTGGCTGGCGCTCTAACCACTGTGCTATGGACGCCAAGCTGTAAAATGCTCTATGTTATGACTGGGGTGGTGGCTACCTATGAATTACACTGGTAATGCTTCAGGCTACATACCCAAGACCTGTGCACATCACTGTATATTATACAATGAAGACAATTTATGTAATAAGATAAAAAAGAACTGTGTTTGGAAAATAGAGAATAAGAGCTAAAGCTGCCTATGACTGCTAAGGGCTAAGGCCCTGTTCTTAGAAGTAGATTCTTGTAAAAGCCCCCCGTGGCAGAGGAGATTGTTATGGTGACTTTTTAGAAACTCAAGCTCAGAGAGATAAGTCTCTTACTCCAAGTCATACAGCCAGAAAAGGGGAGAGCCAAGGCTCTTATCTACTCAAGAGTCTTCTATTTAGGTACAGGCCTGTTTATGGGCCCAAGTTTGTTTTTTTAATTTAAATTTTGAGACAGAGTCTCACTCTGTTGCCCTGGGTAGAGTGCAATGGTGTCATAGCTCACAGCAACCTTACACACCAGGGTTCAAGTGATCCTCTTGCCTTAGCTTCCCGAGTAGCTGGGACTATAGGCACCTCCCACAACCATAATGCCCATCTAGTTTTTCTATTTTTAGTAGAGATGGGGATCTTGAACTCCTGAGCTAAAGCAGTTCATCTGCCTCAACCTCCCAGAGTGCTAGAACCTCCCACAGTGTGAACCACTGTGCTCGGTTGGGCCCAAGCTTTTTTTTTTTGAGACAGAGTTTCAAGCTGTTGCCCTGGGTAGGGTACCATGGCATCACAGCTCACAGCAACCTCCAACTCCTGGTCTCAAGTGAGTCTCCTGCCTCCACCTCCCAAGTAGCTAGGACTACAAGTGCCCGCCACAATGCCCAGCTATGTTTTGGTTGCAGCTGTCATTGTTGTTTGTGGGCCTGGGCTGGATTCTAACCCCCCAGCTCAGGTGTATGTGGCTGGCGCCTTAGCTGCTTGAGCCACAGGCGCTGAGCCTGGGCTCAAGCTCTTAATTTCTAAGTGACAGTGATTTCTCTGTCTTTCCTGGGAAGTCCCACGGTACACCAGGCCTGGGACTTACCTGCTTACCCTTCACCATGTCATTAAATACTCTCTGTACCCATGGAGTCGGGGGTCAGCCTTATTTTCAAACCAGAGCACTAAGGCCCCAACTCCTGGATGTGTGGTCGTGGTACAGGGGCTACAGGCCAGGTTGGGGTGGGCAGATGTACCTCGTTTAGCAGGCTTGCCAGGTTCTGTGGCTCCACTGTGACCAGAAGAGAATCCTCCAGACTCTCACGCTTCATAGGGGTAAAGTAGCAATCCAGGTCCCGGGCATCCAGGATGGTCTTGAGGGGCTCTTGGTCAGCCCGCTCTGCCCAGCGGCCATGTGGCTGATAGCTGCGCTTGGCATGGAAGGCTGAGCCGTCTGCCACATCCTCATCTCCTAGCTTGAAGGATTTGGGACAGTCAGGCAGCCAGCTAAGAGTTCACCAACTCCAAGAGGGCCACAGACATTACACAGACCTCATCTAGTCTCTGGACTTTAAACACCATTCAGAAATAACTTCCAGACCTTTATCTCCAGCCTGAAACTTTCTCTTAAATGCCAGAATTGTACAGGCAGTTGCACTACATTCAAAGTTAACGTGTTGAAAACTCAACCCCTGATTTTCCCCAGACCCACGGCTCCTAAAGCCTTCCTGTTTATTACTCTTTCCAGTTGCTCAGCCCCCAAACTTTAGGATTGTCCTTCATTCCTCTCTATTATTCTGTCCCTTATACTTCATGGTGTATTTCACCTACAGGTTCTGTTAGCTCTGCCATCCAAACACACCTGTAGCACAGCTACTTTGTGTTCACAGCCCCCACCTGGACCCAGCCTCCTCCCAAAGCTGCTGCTTGAGACAGTAGTTGGGGGTGGTAGTTTGAGAACATAGCTCTGCACCCAGACTATGTCAGGTCAATCTTGGATCTTCTAATGCCTAGTTGTGTAACCCTGGGCCTCAGTTACCCTATCTGTGAAATGGAAAGAAGCTTGTAGCTCAGTGAGGATTAAATGAGATAATACATGCGAAAGGCTGAGTCTATAAGTGTGCTAGGATGTTTCTTGAATGTCATTTCATTTACACCAGGATCTGGTCTGCACGGGAGGCTCTCCCTGAAGACCTGACTTAGGCCTTGACTTGAGGTGCGGGTAAAGCACTGTACCTTGCCAGGGGTGGTGGCTCACACCTGTAATCCTAGCACCCTGGGAGGCCGGGGCAGGTGGATTGCTTGAGCTCACAAGTTTGAGACCAGCCTGAGTAAAAGCAAAACCCGTCTCCACTAAAAAATAGAAAAACTGAGGCAAGAGGATCACTTGAGCCTGAGTTGGAGGTTGCTGTGAGCTATGATGCCACAGCACTCTACCCAAGGCAACAGCTTGAGACCCTGTCTCAAAAAAAACAAAACAGAACACTTCCTCAAATAAACTCTCAGACCTCATGTTTAGGTCTGTTAGGTTCTGTTTCCAGTCTATTTTTTATTTTTAGGATATAAAAGTATAAATTTAATTTTATTAGAGAGAGGGAAGAGAGTAGGGGGAAGAGATGAGTAAGAGAGAGAGCAGAGAGCAAGGAGTAAGAGAGGGCGAGATGGGGGCATCCCAAAGAGAGACAGGAAGAATGCCCGCCTTCTTTTTTTAGAAAGACAGGAAGAATGCCCGCCTATTTTTTTTTTTTTTTTTTGGAGACAGGAGCCTCAAGCTGTCCCCCTGGGTAGGGTGCCGTGGCATCTCAGTTCATAGCAACCTCCAACTCCTGGGCTCAAGCAAGTCTCCTGCCTTAGCCTCCCAAGTAGCTGGAACCACAGGCACCCGCCACAATGCCCGGCTATTTTTTTGGTTGCAGCCGTCATTGTTTGGCGGCCCGGGCTGGATTCGAACCCGCCACCTTGGGTGTACGTGGCTGGCGCCTTAGCCACCTGAGCCACAGGCGCCGAGCCCCCGCCTACTTTTTAAAAGATAATTTTCTTGCCGGGCGTGGTGGCTCATGCCTGTAATCACAGCACTGTGGGAGGCTGAGGGAGAATCGCTGGAGCTCAGGAGTTTGAGACTCACCTGAGCGAGAGTGAGACCCTGACTCATGAAAAAAATGGAAAAACCCAGCTGGGCACCCCAGGGGCTTCTGGAGGCTGAGGCAGCAGGATGCCCATAAGGCGGAGTCTGAGGCTGCAGTGAGCTACCAAGCCACCACACTCTGCTCAGGGGCATAGGGTAGGGCTCTGTCTCAACAACAACAAAAAAGATAATTTTCTCAAAGACCAATGGTGGCTGGCGTGTGGAGGGAGCACTCCCCCACCCCTATCCCTGCAGGGAAAAGAAGAGGGGGAGGGAGGAAGATGGGGGCTGCAGAAAAGATCCGGTGGCACAGCTGGACTACGCTGTTGAGTAACCTACCAGTCTAAATCAACAATCATTCATTGCTGGGTTTTGTTTTGTTTTGAGGTGGGGCCTCACTGTGCTGCCCAAGTGGGCTTCCAACTCCTAGCCTCAAGTGATCTTCCCACCTCAGCCTCCCAAGTAGACTGAGGGGACTACAGGCAGCAGCCACTCATTCAATCTTATCATTTTGGTTCTTCTCTTTCCCTCATATGCAATTGATTGGCTTCCTTTTGAAATCAATCTGGAATCTAACTATTTCTTCCTCCTGGTCTAGCCTCTAACCTTCCTGCCTGGGTCACTACTGGCTCCTTAGTCTGTTTCCCACAGAGACCTGGTGACACTGAGTTGGAGCACAGCCTTTCTCAGCTCAGAGGCCACCCTTGGCTCTATCTCACTCAGTGCTAACTGGGAAAAAACATGCGGCAGGATGAGGGGTGCCGAGGGAACTCCCCACAGCCCACATGCCCTGCTCTGTCTGGCCCTGTTACCTGAGCCCTTTCCTCCCCACTCTGGCCCTCATCTACCTCATGTCAGGCAGCTCAGCCCCCCTGCTCTTCTTTGAAGAAGCTAAGCACAGTTCTGCCTCCTGGACTTTGAACATGTGGACTGTTCGACCTAGAACGCTCTTCCCCATGTCTCACTTGCTTTGCCTGTGCTCAAATATCATCTTCTCAGTGAGGCCCTTTCTGTTTACCCAAAATTGCGATCCCCCAGCACCCGTTATTTTCCCTCTTGATCAGTTCCCAACAACCTACGTAATCTGCTCAGTGAATGTGGATATTGTTGCTCACCACACCAGCAAATATGCCTGCGAGGGAGAGACTGTGTCCGCCTTGCTCAGTGCTGTATCTCCAACGGCCAGAGCGACGCCTGGCACAGGGCGTGTGTGAATGAAGGGCTGTCTAAGCTGAAACTGAACAAGTGACAGAGCTTCTCCAGTGAAAGAAGAGGAAAGAGAAAAGGGTCCCCGGAAGAAAGAAGAGCTGGGAAGGGCACCCTCCTTTACCAGTCCTGAGGCATCCCTCTCTCTTGGAAGACTCACCAGCCGCTTTGCCCAGAGTGGCAGCTTGCCATTGGTCAGCAGGCACCGAGGATCTGGGGAGACACATGAGAGTCCATGAAAAGGGACAAATACCTAACAGACGAATGGGCAGCACACACAGAGGCAGTTCTCCCAAGAGGCAATACAGGGAGCAACAGATCACAAGATGCTCAACTCCACTAGTTGTCAGGGAAATGCAAATTCAATAAGGGACACAAGGGTTTACTTATAAGTCTGACCCAAGATTGTATGCTTAACCTGTGGTACTACCAAATGTTAGCCAGAAAGTGTGCAGGAATGAAGAATCTAATACAGGCGGCGCCCATAGCTCAGTGGGTAGGGCGCCGATCACATACACCAAGGCTGGTGGGTTCAAAACTGGCAACAATGACAACTGCAACAACAAATACAGCTGAGCGTTGTGGTGGCGCCTGTAGTCACAGCTCCTTGGGCGGCTGAGGCAAGAGAATTGCTTGAGCCCAAGAGTTTGAGGTTGCTGTGAGCTGTGATGCCATCGCACTCTACCCAGCACGACAGCTTGAGACTCTATCTCAAAACAAAACAAAACAAAGTGCCTAACACAATGCCAGGTGGGGTGGTAACTGGATTTGAGGTTCTTTTTAAAATAAAATGCGTCCTAACCCCAGGACCCAATAGTGTTACCCTTGGCCTCACCCTGGAGAAACCTTCACATGTGCCCACAGAGGAAGCCCAGGAGTGGTCAGTATGGCCTCAGTTACAACAATGGTGAAAATTAGAAAAAACTTAAATATCCGCCTGGAGGAGAGAAACTTAAAAAACTCTACTATGGGCTTGGCGCCTGTGGCTCAAGTGGCTAAGGCGCCAGCCACATACACCAAAGGTGGCAGGTTCGAATCCAGCCCAGGCCCACCAAAACAACAATGACAGCTACAACCAAAAAATAGCCGGGAGTTGTGGTGGGCGCCTGTGGTCCCAGCTACTTGGGAGGCTGAGGCAGGAGACTCACTTGAGCCCAGGAGTTGGAGGTTGCTGTGAGCTGTGATGCTACGGCACTCTACCCAGGGGGACAGCTTGAGGCTCTGTCTCAAAACAACAAAAAACAAAAAAAACTCTACTATGGGGCTGGATATGGTAGCTCACACCTGTAATCTTAGTACTCTAGGAGGCTGAGGCAGCCTGAGTTCACAGGTTTGAGACCAGCCTGAGCCAGAGTAAGACCCCATTTCTAAAAAAATAGCCAGGCATTGTGGCAGGTACCTGTAGTCTCAGTTACTTGGGAGGCTGAGGCAAGAGGATAGCTTGAACTCAAGAGTCCAAGAGTTTGAGGTTTCTGTGAGCTGTGATGCCAAGGTACTCTACGCAGGAAAACAGAGTAAGACTTTGCCTCAGAAAAAAAAAAAAAAAGAATCCACACTAAATTAGTCCAAGTAGCCAACCCAGAGAGGATAATGGGTTGGGTATGAGGGTGGCAATAAGGAAAAGCAGTTTACTGTGTAATGTCTGATTTTTCATGGCTGAGTTCTCACGTTGCTGTTGCCTGCCAGTCAGCCTCTGCCTATTTCACCCTTGCTGGAGAGCTCGTGAACCATCCTGAAAGCACCTAGTGCTGGTCGCTATTCCCAGCCTGTCATAGTTGTCATTGGCCTCATGGCCAATGAGGCCTAAAGGGAAGCCTGCTAGGGCATCCTGGGAAAGAGCTTCCTCTCTGAAGGAGATTCTCAGGAGAGAAGGTCTCTCCTCTTTCAGTATGTTTCTGATGCCTGGAACTTAACCAGCCATCTTGCAACCATGAGGGCCTATGCAAATGGGTAGAAATTTAGGGAGCCTGGCCTTTTAGAAAGTTGCTGAGCTACTACTATTCCTTCTGCTGAATAATAGAATCTATCTGCCTTCAGGTTAACAGCACCCTGTCCTGTTTTTCCCAGGGAAGTCCCAGCCCCTTAATACTCCCTACCTATAGTCAGCTGGTTAGAGTGAAGGTGACTCCCCTCACTACCTGGACCCAGCCATGCTTGAAGCCAATCCTTTTGGATTTTCAGATACATGAACCAAAATTTCCCTTTCCAGCTAAAGCCACAAAGAACCTTGTTGCTGTAATATTGAAAGAGATTTTGTATTTGTTTGTTGTTTTTTGAGACAGGGTCTTACTTTGTCGCCCTGGATAGAATACTGTGGTATCATCATAGCTCACTGCAGCTTCAAACTCTTGGGCTCAAGAGATCCTCTTGCTTCAGGCTCCCAAGTAGCTGGGACTACAAGTACCCACCAAAATGCCTAGATGGTTTTCTATTTTCAGTAGAGATGGAGTATCACTCTTGCTCAAGCTAGTCTCGAACTCCTGAGTTTAAGGGATCTACCCACCTCAGCCTTCCAGAGTGTTGGGATTACCGGCGGGAGCTACCATGTCCGCCCAGCCTGAAAGAGTGTTGACTGACATGATTAACAAGCTTCTGTGTGTGCCAGGCACTGCCACAAAGTAGTGCACAAAATCTAACGAAGCTCCCTTACACTGACACAGTTGCAAACAGGCCCCTTTCTGACCTGGATCCAGGTTCTCTTTGGATGGGGTCTTCAGCAAATCTTCCTGTTCACACTCTTCCTCCAGCTCATCCTCTGTCTGCTCTCCAGGGCTTAGGGAGCGAATCTCTCTGGGAACAGATACATATGTCTCCTGTCTAAAGCCAGAAACGAGGACCGTAGGGTAAGAGCACAAGTAAATGAGGTGGCGGGGATGTGCCCAGGGCTACACCGTGTGCTAAGCTCCATGTGAAAATATTCTTGGCTTCTGGTCAAAATGGTCCCGGGCAGTCTTTCACTTGACACACTCCCTCCCCTAGAAAGAAACACATTGCCGCAGCGAATGAGGTATAACAAAGGCTGGACTCAGAAATGAGACAAATTCTCCAAGGGTCATAGCAATGGGACAGAAAGTAAAGCAGATGGTGGGGTGGTAGTCCTGGGCTCTCTTCAGGTGGTGGCCGTGAGATTTTGGCTCCTTTGGACTACAGGAAATGCAAACACACTTGGCACTGCAACAGGGATTGGGCTCATAGCTGTGGATGGGAGGACCCTTAACACCAAAAGCCAAAGGGATCTGCCCACTCCTTTGATGCCCAGATCTGTGATATTTACAGGACCACTGCAGGAGGGGTGGCCTGTGGTCCACCTGGTCCCCATGGGGCACAAGGCAATGGCAAAGGCGCATGATGGATGGGCACAGATAGGGGCAAATCCAGAGGCAGACAGAGAAAAAAAAACACCAAAATATCTCACTCAAAATGAGCAACTCTCCCAACCAAAGCCTAAAATTAAAAACTAGAATAGGGAGGTACCTGTGGCTCAAAGGAGTAGGGCACCAGCCCCATATGCTGGAGGTGGCGGGCTCAAACCAAGCCCCGGCCAAAAAACTGCAAAAAAACAAAACAAAACTAGAATATGGGTTCGGCGCCTATGGCTCAAGTGGCTAAGGCGCCAACCACATAAACCTGAGCTGGCAGGTTCAAATCCAACCCAGGCGTGCCAAACAACAATGACGGCTGCAACCAAAAAATAGCTGGGTGTTGTGGCAGGTGCCTGTAGTCCCCACTACTTGGGAGGCAGAGGCAGGAGAATCGCTTAAGCCCAGGAGTTGGAAGTTGCTGTGAGTTGTGATGCCATGGTACTCTACCCAGGGGGACAGCTTGAGGCTCTATCTCAAAAAACAAAAACAAAAACAAAAAAACCCAAAAACTAGAATATGGGTGGCACCCATAGCTCAACAGGCAGGGTGCGGGCCACATACAGAGGCTGACGTGTTTGAACCCAGCCCAGGCCCGCTAAAACAACAGTGACAACTACAACAAAAAATATATAGCCAAGTGTTGTGACGGGCACCTGTAGTCCCAGCTACTTGGGAGGCTGAGGCAAGAGAACCACTTAAGCCCAAGAGTTTGAGGTTGCTGTGAGCTGTGACCCCATGGCACTCTACCCAGGGTGACAGCTGGAGACTCTGTCTCCAAAAAACAACAACAAAAAACTAGAATATGAGTTCATTCCACATGTAACAGGTTTTGTGGGCTCACTGCTCATAGCAGAGTGGTTACAGTGTCAGTCACATGCACCAAGGATGGTGGGTCCCAGCTAGTTGGGAGGCTGAGGCAAGAGAATTGCTTAAGCCCAAGAGTTTGAGGTTGCTGTGAGTTATAATGCCACAGCACTCTACTGAGGGTGACATAGTGAGACTCTGTCTAAAAAACAAAACAAAACAGGTTTTGTGCTTAGGCCGAGTGTGGTAGCTCACGCCTGTAATCCTAGCACTTTGGGAGGCTCAGGAAGGCAGATTGCTTGAGCTCAAGAGTTCAAGACCAGCCTGAGGAAGAGCGAGATCCTATTTCTAAAAATAGCCTGGGTTCAGCGCCTATAGCTCAACCGGCTAAAGCGCCAGCCATGTACACCTAAGGTGGCGAGTTCGAATCCAGCCCAGGCCCACCAAACAACAATGATGGCTGCAACCAAAAAATAGCCGGGCGTTGTGGCGGGCGCCTGTGGTCCCAGCTACTTGGGAGGCGGAGGCAGGAGACTCGCTTGAGCCCAGAAGTTGGAGGTTGCTGTGAGCTGTAATGCCACGGCACTCTACCCAGGGGGACAGCTTGAGGCTCTGTCTCAAAAAAAAAAAAAAAAAAAAAAAAGCCTGGTGTTGTAGTGGACACCTATAGTCCCAGCTACTTGGGAGGCTGAGGCAAGAGGGTTACTTAAACCCAAGAGTTTGAGGTTGCTGGGAGCTATGACACCATGGCACTCAACCCAGGGCAAGAGAGTGAGACTGTCTCAAAACAAACAAAAAAACTAAAAAAAAAAATCAAGAGTAAGAGAACAATACCTCAGCTCCACTATACCCTTCCCTAACCTCTCCTTCCACATCACAGTGCTGAGCGGCTCACCAAGCACTTTGCTTTTCTACTTCAAAACCCTTCTCATGTATGTTTGCTGCAACTTTGAATTTTGTCACTTCCACTGTACTGTGGTCAGGGCCCAGTGCTGTCTCAGCCATATGTCCCCAGTATCACTTCTCATGAGCCTAGGGCTGGGGACACCCCTCCAATGAACAGATGAGGGATGGGGGATGCCAGGACCTGGGGTGGTTGCTCCACTTTCTGCTCTTGGTGTGCTGCTGCTGCTGCTGCTGCTGCTGGTCCCGGTGGTCGATCTCCAGCAAGTGCTGTTTCATGCAGCTGGTGATCTCAGGGCCCAGGTGCCAAATAAATACGCAGCTGCAGAGGCCAAAGAGAGATGCGGGAAGGGGAGGAGGAGTGAACACAGGAGGGAGCCATGAGGCCCTGTGCAGCCAAGGCCCCATGCCCCAGGCCCTCCTCCAGGATCTGCAGATCTATGGGGGCTCGCACAAGTGGTCACGGTGTCGGAGCCCCTCCTCTCCCCACTTTATATGTCCCACCCACTCCTGGAGGAAGGCTCAGCCAGGGCAGCCTCCAGGCTGGTCCCACCTGTCTCCAGATACTGTGATCAAGTGACGACAGTCATAGGTGAACTTCATGCCAGTGACGATTTCTGCAAACAAAGCAGAGAAGATGCCCTCGTCTTCTGAATCACAGGCTGTGTGGAGGGTGGGGAGGTGACCCAAGCAGAGAGGCACTCCCACCTGAATGGCCAAACATCTTGGCAATGCACTCGCCCGAGTAAAAGTCAATCACTGAGATGCTTTTGTCAGAGCAGCTTGTGGCCAGGAAGGTGCCAGAGGGGTCCACCTGGACCTGACAGGAAAGAAACCCGTATGTCACTCAGGCTGCCTATATATTCCCAACTGAGTTTGGTCTGGGCCAAAATCTCAGACCTCACTGACTGGGCCCACCTTGTACCAGATGCACAGTACATGGAATTATTCCAGAGAACACTCACGACACCCACCCTTGGTAGGGGAGGAACCCCTTCCCTCATTTTCTTTTCTTTTTTTTTTTTTTTGAGACAGGAGCCTCAAGCTGTCCCCCTGGGTACAGTGCCGTGGCATTACAGCTCACAGCAACCTTCAATTCCTGGGCTCAAGCGAGTCTCCTGCCTTCGCCTCCCAAGTAGCTGGGACCACAGGCGCCCGCCACAACACCCGGCTATTTTTTGGTTGCAGCCGTCATTGTTGCTTGGCGGGTCCGGGCTGGGGATTCGAACCCGCCACCTTAGGTGTATGTGGCTGGCGCCTTAGCTGGTTGAGCTATAGGCGCCGAGCCCCCTTCCCTCATTTTATGGGTGAAGAAATTAATCACCACCACAGTAGTAACAATGGGAGCCAGGCCTTGTGCTGAGCACTGTATGAGTAAAAACTTAATTCTTCCATAGAGCCACCTCATGAAAGAAGTTATCTTGGCAGCACCCATAGCTCAGTGGGTAGGACACTGGCCATATACATTGAGACTGGCAGTTCGAACCCAGCCTGGGCCAGCTAAAACAACAATGACAACTGCAACAAAAAAATAGCCAGGCATGAGTGGTGCCTGTGGCTCAGGGAATCCACCTGCCTCAGCCTCCCAGAGTGCTAAGATTACAGGTGTCAGACACTACGCCCAGCCCAATGCCTAGCTAGTTTTTTAGAGATGGAGGTCTTGCTCTTGTTCAGGTTGGTCTCGAACTCCTAAGCTCAAGGGATCCTCCCAATGGCCTCCTGGAGTGCTAGGATTATAGGGGTGACCATTGGCCTGGCCTCTGTCTCTTATTTATTTTTGAGACAGAGCCTCAAGCTGTCGCCCTGGGTAGAATGCCGTGGTGTCACAGCTCACAGCAACCTCCAACTCCTGGGCTTAAGCGATTCTCTTGCTTCAGCCTCCCAAGTAGTGGGACTATAGGCACCCACCACAGTGCCCGGCTATTTTTCGATTGTAGTTGTCATTGCTATTTGGCAGGCCCAGGCTGGGTTTGAACCCGCCAGCTCTGGTGTATGTAGCTGGCGCCTTAGCCGCTTCAGCTATAGGTGCCAAGCCCTCTGTGTCTTATTTTAAAAAGGAAGGTAGGCTGGGCTTGGTGGCTCACATCTATAATCCTAGCACCCTGGGAGGCTGAGGCAGGTGTTTTGCCTGAGCTCATGAGTTTGAGATCAGCCTGAGCAAGAGCAAGACCTTGTCTCTAAAAATAGCCAGGTGTTGTGGTGGACCTGTAGTCCCAGCTACTTGGGAGGCTGAGGCCAGAGAATCACTTAAGCCCAAGAGTTTGAGGTTGCTGTGAGCTGTGACACCACGGCTCTCAACTGAGGGTGACAAAATGAGACTGTCCCAAAAAACAAAAATAAAAAAGCTGAGCATTGTGGTGGGTGCCTTGTATTCCCAGCTACTTGGGAGGCTGAGACAAGAGGATCACTTGAGCCCAGGTATTTGAGGTTGCTGTGAAGTATGATACCATGGCACTCTACTAAGGGAGAAAAAGTGAGATTTTGTCTCAAAAAAAAAAAGGAAGGTAAAGCAGTCAGGGTGCCCTCCCCATAGATCCTCCCAAACATCCTTGGTTAACCAGACCTCAGTGGGTGCTGGCCAGTGTGTGATCCTTTGATTAAGCATCAAGGACATAGGTCTCAGGTGGCTGATCAGGGCAGCAGACAGACAGGGGCCTGTGTGTGGGTATCTGTGTGAGGTTTCCTCTGGGGCTATTTCTCACCTTCAGCAGGGAGCCTTCATCTCCCTGGGAGCCCCTGTAGCACTTCTTCTGCTTCCCACTCACGGTGTTGTAGATCCTGGGGGAGGGGCAAGCATAAACATCAGGGCCCTGCTCACCCTCTCCTTCTTGTCCTCGTTCCTGTCGCCTTTGGTTTCCCTGGAAGTCCCCTGCTACCTCTTGTCCCCATCTGATGCCTCAACTGAAACCTGAGTTTCCTGCATTCCCTGAGCCCCTAGCAGGGCTGGAAGGTACCAGGGTCATGGCCGTGAAACCACACAAGCTTAATGGCTGCCATCCCATCAGTGAGCCAGCGGAGGACGGAGAGGCTCCCTGCATGGTCTGTCCTGTGCATGCTCTCTGCCTGCCCTTGCTCACTCCTGCACAGTCTCCCCAGACTCAGCTCAGATGTCCCTTCCTCCAGCTTGATCCCCAGAGGGTTGGGGGTCTCCTCAGGGCCCCCACAGGGCTCTCTCTGTCCCAACCCTGACCACTCTGTACTGTCACTGTCTGGTCCCCTTCACTGGACTGTGAACTCTGTGAAGGAGGGCCTGGGGCTGCCCCAGCCACTGCCATGATCCTGACACCTTCCAGCTCTGCTAGGGGCTCAGGAAATGCAGGTGAATGAATCTCTCAGTCACCCCACAAAGGCTCCTAGGAGAGTCCAGCTTCTAAGAAACATCTGTTGTATCCCTCCATCCCTCCCACCTTCTCAGGGACCAGATGAGTAGGAGGAGGAAAGAGACAGGCCACACTGGCCTGTTCAGAAACCAGGTGGGGCAATAAGGGCCCAGGGCTGCTCCTCACCTCACATTACGGTCCTGGCAGGCCACGGCCACATACTTCTGGGTGATGTCAATGTCCATGTCATACAAGGTGGTTTTCTCTGCCACATGGTGGGTACGGACAAAGTGTAATCCATCTGAGGCCTGGTAGGACAAGCAGGACCTTCAGAAGACAACCCTGGCAAGCCCCCTCACCCCAGCCCCCAAGGAGGACATACCCCACCAACCCGCTGGGCACTGCGAAAGTAGATGCTCTTGTCGGCTCCACAGCTGATCATCTGGATGTCTCTGTTGCCTGGGGGAGGAGGAGGTAAGGCATTACCCAGGGCTGGGCCACTCTCTCAGAGGACCCTAGCTATAGAACTCCATTGCAAGGGCAATCAGACAACTTTGCTAGGATCAAGGAGGGCTTTGAAGGAGGTGCAGTGGGTGCTGGGTCCAGATGGGAGCTGTCTGTGTGAAGAGCCACTGATGGAGCTGTAGAGCAAGGGCATATAGACAAACAAAGCCAGGGGCACAGAAGAAATGCCATCTCCAATATGAGACTTGGATGGGTGACCCGAGAGGCAGCACAGAGACGGGAACAAGTCGAGACAGGCTGGGAGGTTCACGCCAGCAAGAACAATCAGAACCTCCACAGGTGCCCCTGGCCAGGCCCTGAGCACATGCCTGATCTCTCAGAATGCTCACTATCTACCCTTCTGTACATGTGAACATGGGCTCAGAGGCACAGAATCCCCAGGCTGGACTGAACCCAGGTAGTCTCTGGCACCAGAAGTAAAGCTGTCAAACGCAGGTCTGGCCCTGCTCCCCCCACCGCCCGTCTGTACACTGGGCCCAATAATAGGCTGTCCCATGGTAAGCACTGAAAAGCATCATAAGCATTCTTGCTTTTGTTATTTGCCATTTTTTAATTTTTTAAGACAAGGCCTCATTCTGTCACCCAGTAGAGGGTACCGTATCATCAGCATAGCTCACAGCAACCTCCAACTCTTGGGTTCAAGTGATCCTCTTGCCTCAGTTTTTCTATTTTTAGTAGAGACGGGGTCTCACTTTTTGCTTAGAGTGGTCTCAAACTTGTGATCTCAAGCAAGAGTGAGCCACCATGCCCTGCCCACTTCATGCTCTTTAGAAGGTGACCCTAAATACTTACTCCTGGGTTAGTTATTACCTCGCCTAGATGGAGACCATTCCCTAAGGGTAAGGTCACTGCTAGCCAAGTCAAGCTGTTAGATTATATTTACTGGTTTATTCCAACTATCTATATCCCATGGAATGGGATGATCTGAACAGTTTTTAAAGATGTCTGAGAAGGGCAGTGCCTGTGGCTCAGTGGGTAGGACACCGGCCCCATATACCAAGGGTGGTAGGTTCAAACCCAGCCCCGGCCAAAACAAACAAACAAACAAACAAACAAACAGATGTCTGAGAATTTTGTGAATCTATTCATAAGATTATATGTAAAAAATAATTGTTCATAGTAATTTACAGTCAATGAATGTACTCTCTCTACAAATATTCTTTTTGAATATAGTTTGAACATGTTCTTGGGTTTTATCAGTTAAACCGCTACGGGCCTGCCTCCCCTCCCCTGAGAACACCTTAGGGCCAAGGATCTATCTCCCTACTGACTCTTTCCAGCCCCATAGGAATCCCTTCCATTTTCTGGCTAAGTGTGGGATTTAGAGGTAGCCTTAGGCAAGGTCCCAGAAGTTGCACTTCCCAGCTCTGTCGCTCTAATATAAACAGGGTATGAGGGGGTACGAGCTGGGAGGAGTCCATGTCTGCTGGGAGAAGGAACAGAAGTAGCCTCTAGCAATCCTTGAAATCATCTGTTCTCCTGCCTAGGTAGCAGTGTACATCTGACCCTCCCATAGGATCGGCACCCTGATTTCCTTCTGGGGACCCACACTCTTCTAACGCCAGTCCTCCTAGATTAGGGTGACCAGATTTTAACATTGGTAAAGTGGGACAACATGGCCGGGGGGCAGGGTGGGGGTGGGGCAGAGGATGGGGCAGGGCAGGGCCCAACAACAATGTAAACTTTGATAAGCAGTTTTCGATAATCACTTCTCAACAATTATTTGTTATTATTACAGTTTAACATAAAATTAACAAAAATAATATAAAACTCATATCCTGGAGAAACAGCCACATGGCAGCCGAAAACCATATATTCCATTCCTGTTCTCCCACCCTTTCATGCATTCTTTCCAAAAATCGGGACTTTTTAAAAATGTCACGGGAAGGGGACAAATTGTTAAAAGTGGGACTGTTCCGCCAAAAGTGGGACGTCTGGTAATCCTATCCTAGATCGGGGCAGAGGAAGGTATGGACAAGGGACACATTAGTCAGAACGGTCTCAAGGGGCTTGGTGCCTGTAGCTCGGCAGCTAGGGTGCTAGCCATATACACCAGAGCTGGCAGGTTCAAATCCAGCCCAGGTCTGCCAAACAACAGTGACAACTACAACCAAAAAATAGCCAGGTGTTGTGGCAGGCACCTGCAGTCCCAGCTACTTGGGAGACTGAGGCAAGAGAATTGCTTAAGCCCAAGAGTTGGAGGTTGCTGTGAGCTGGCATGCCACAGCACTCTACCCAGGGCGACATAGTGAGACTCTGTCTCAAAAAAAAAGAACTGTCTCAAGAACACACTCCAAAGCCCTGGCCTCAGTAACTGCTTCTGGGAAGGGCAGGTGCATCAGGACAAGGGAGGTCAGTCCCCAATTCTGCCAAAATTGACCAAACAGGGGAAATGTCTTTCCAGGGGCACAATGGCAACCAAGATCCTGCCAAGAGAAAAAGGCAATGCTGAAAAACTCAAAAGATTCAACCTTCGACCTTTGGATCCAGCTAGGTCTGAATCCAGAGTTTGCTTCTCCCTTTCCTGGCTAAGGAGGGAATCTTTGCTTGCTTACCAGCACAGAAGCCCATGGGATGAGGCGCAAGGAGTAGGGAGAAAGGGGCTCACCAGCAAACTTAATGGCTGTGATGGAGGAGGAGTGGTCGTCCAGGGTCTGCTCCAGGTTGTAGTTCTTCTCCACATTCAGCACGTGGATCAGCCGGTCCCGACTGGCTGAGGCCAACAAGGTCAGCCCTATGAGTAAAGAGGAAGGGACTGAATTCCTAGAAGACTGCTTGGATGCCTTGGCCTCCTATATGGGCCAGTGCTACCGAGCTGCCCGGGCCTTGGAGAAGGGGTCTTTGGTTCTAAAACTGTATCCAGTTTGCCCCAAACGCAGCAAGAGTGTGGTCTTTGCTGAGCCCTCAAACTCTGGCATTTCACATCCCTCACCACTAGTTCGGGGTGGGGATGAATCCTGACATACACATGGATACTCCCCCTGCATGCCCACTGCAGACATTCTAGCAGAGCCCAATGCTCTTTCCTGCTGAGTCTGTCTCCTTGGCAAGCCAGGTAAAGTCTGCTCCACCTCTCAGCTTCATCCAAAATCACTTCCCCCTCGTTCTCTGAGCTCGGGCTACTGGGCTTTGTGCAGACCCTGTTGACTGCCTGCTGCTGTACTTCCTTCTACTCCTGGCCTTGCCCTCCTGCACCCACAGATAGAGCCTACTGTGATCTGCTGATATGTCTGAGGCCTAACAATACAACCTGAGGAGCTCAGAAAAGGTGTACCAGGTAATGAGAGATTTAAAGAAAATTCAGTGGGGCAGAGGGTATGAGGACGGAAGACTGAAAGAACAGCATGGGGATCATGTAACAGATCAGGACATAACTTCACTCTGCTATCTTACTGCCAAAAAGTCTATCATCCGAATCAAGTCATGAGGAGAACAAACCCACACTGAGAGAGATTCTACAACATGACTGGCCTGCACTCTGCAGAAGCCAAAGTCAAGAAGACAAATTAGGACTGTGGAAATATTCTCTCATAAAGGTAACAAAGGAGCCATGACACAACCGAAGTGTGAACCTGGATTAGAGAAAGGTGCTGTTAAAGTGTGAGGGGCTCAGCGGTGTACCCAGAGAGAGACTGGGAGAGGTTCAGGCCAAGTTTAATGAAAGGGGACAGAGACTCATCTGGACAAAGATGGTGGCTGCACTAAGGGTAGCTGGGGGCTTGTTTTTATCCTGGATATAGGGAAAGGAAGATTCCACAGGTTGCTTCCCAGAGGAATTCTTGAGGCGGGGCCAAACAGGCCTTTTGTTCTAGAAGTGGAAGAGGGGGAAGGGTTTAGGTCCTTAACATGAAGAACAATATTGGGACAACAAACAAAATTCGAGTAAGAACCACAGCACAGATAACAGTACAGTGAAATGCCCAGATTTGACAAGTATACTGCAGCCAAGTACATGGATGTCCTTGTTTCTAGGAAATGCTCATGGAAACATCTAGGGGTACAGGGGCATCACGTCTGCAATGCACTCTAAGTAGTCTAGCAAAGGAAAGAAGATAATAATTTATACACATCATTTTATTGTGTATGCTAGTATGTGTATATACACTCGCACATACACAGAAAAGGACAGAGGATGTGATATTCTGAAATACCTATTTGGTCTTCATCCATTCCCTAGTACACAACTCCTAAAAGCCTTAAAATCTCCAAAGTGGGAAGTGTCTTTTCTTTTTTTTGAGACAGTCTCACTTTGTTGCCCTCAGTAGCGTGCTGTGGCATCACAGCTCACAGCAAAGTCAAACTCTTGGGCTTGTGGTTGCCATTGGAAGGGAAAGGCAGTCTTGTGGGACTGAGCCTCCACCCTGTGGGATCTGACACTATTTAGAGGGAGAAAGTGTGGGAACTGAACTGGAAGACACTTGGCAGGTGTCTCATGCAGACCTGGCTGCTTGCATGATGTGTGGGCAAAGGCGCCTACATACCTGGTGTCAGTGTGTTGTGAAAGAACAGCAGGAGTTTGTTCCTACATTCTCAGAGAAGGAAAGCAGATAGTCACATACATAGTTACAGGCTCAGACAAGTTAAAAGATAGCAACTTGAGGAATCATGGTGAAGAGTATATGGAATGCCAACATATATTATATTTATATGTGTGTCTTACTCTGTTGCCCTGGGTAAAGTGTCCTGGTGTCATAGCTCACAGCAACTTCAAACTCCTGGGCTCAAGCGATCCTCTTGCCTCCCAAGTAGCTAGGACTACATTTGCCCACCACAATGCCTAGCTGGTTTTTCTATTTTTAGCAGAGATGGGGTCTGGCTCTTGCTCAGGCTGGTCTTGGACTCCCGAGATCAAAGGATCCACTGCCTTGACCTCCCAGAGTACTAGGATTCATTATAATATTCTTGTAATTTAGCTCAGCACCTGTGGCTTAAGCAGCTAAGGTGCCAGCCACATACACCTGAGCTCGGGGGTTTGAATCCAGGCCAGGCCCGCGAAACAACAATGATGGCTGCAACCAAAAAATAGTTGGGCGTTGTGGCGGAAGCCTGTAGTCCCAGCTACTTGGGAGGTGGAGGCAGGAGAATAGCTCGAGCCCAGAAAGTTGGAGGTTGCTGTGAGCTGTGATGCCACAGCACTCTACCCAGGGCAACAGCTTGAGGCGCTGTCTCAAAAAAAAAAAATTGTTGTAATTTTTCTGGAGAGTTCAAACTTTTTTAAAATAACGCCTATCCATCTGTTTCCTTGAGTGGAGGATGAGCTTGTGCCCGCATTCTCTCCTTCCTACATTCACCTCTGTAGTGTGGGCACCATGAGGCTGCTAGTGAGGTGGGGCCAGTGGTGAGCCAGTCCAGCTGAGCCCTGCCTGTGGGCGTCTTGCTTTCTGAAGTCTCAGCCATCCTGGTCCTGGGTCCAATAACAGCATCCCTCACTGAACACAAGACTCACAGCTGTCACCCACATTTCCCCCAGAAACCAACTGCCCCTGCTGTAGTCTCACCTGTCTCAGGCTTGGAGTATTCCAGGCACAGCACCTCAGCATCATGTGCCTCCACCTTGACCAGCTCATCCATGAAGTGCAGTTCGTGGATCCTGGGAGACACACACTGACCGCTATTCCCTGTGGGTCCCCGGAGCCCAGCCCCAGGTGCTCTGCCGCTGCTAGGGAAGGTCAGAATTGCCAGGCAGGCAGTATGGGAACCCCATATCCCTGGCAGACAGCTTAGAGATGCACAGCCACTTCTCATCTAGGAACCTGCCATCATACAGGGAGCAGCACTGAGGGAGCAGATGCAGGGAGCAGCCCCTGTGGTTCCCGGGCCAGAACATGCCCCCAGGGATCTAGGAGAGTCCTCTGGGGGAATTACACAGGGCTGCATCAGAGGTGGTCCCTGGGAGTGGGGACATTGCCAAAATGTCTTCCCAGCTTCCCATCATGGCTGTCTCAGCATCCTGCCAGCATCCCTACCCGAGGCCTCACTGCCTGGCAGCTAGTTAGGGGCAGGGGCTGTGGGTGGGGGTGGGGTGAGGGGAAGGTCACAGTCCAGGAATAGGACTTATGGATGAGAACATTTGATTCTAGTCCCTCATTTGATTCTAGACCGTCCTCATTCTCCTCAAATGAAATCAGTCAGCAGGTCACCCTAGCTCCTCTATTCAACCCCTGCAATCTTAGCCCAGACACCTGGCCTCTCTTATCTCAGTTAACCCATCTGAAAAGTGTAGCTAAAAACAGCGCTTATGTCAGAGGATATAGGGCTCAGGCCAGCGCCTGGCACAAGAAGAGTGCTGTGCCCATGCCCGCTCTCATTACTGTGGAGCCACTCCTGGCAGAGCCCCGTCAGCATGAGCACTGACACGGAGAGTTGGCCTCATTCAGTGACTGATACCAAAGACAGTTGCCAATTTTTAGAAATCACAGAATTTCACAGCAAAAAACTGCATTTTCTGTTCTACTTGGAGAGAGTGTCCTGGTGCTGTGTGGTAGCCTCCCCTCTGTGGCACACAGCTTTTCAGTTCCCACCCGTCTCTTCCATGTCCCAACAGCTCCAACATCCAAGTGGTTAAAGCTGTCATTTGTCATCTTACACGTGGTCCCAGTGACAAGGCTTATTTTTATATTGGGGACAGAGTCTCACCTTGTCACCCTGGGTAGAGTGCTGTGGTGTCATAGCTCACAGCAACCTCAAAGTCTTGGGCTCAAGAGACTTGGGCTCCTCCTGCCTCAGCCTCTTGAGTAGCTAGGACTATAGGCATCTGCCACAATGGCTGGCTCAATTTTCTATTTTAGTAGGGCTGGTCTCAAACTCCTGGGCTCAAGCAATCCACTGCCTTAGCCTCCCAGAGTGCTGGGACTATAGGCACCCAGCCAAGGCTTATGTTCTGCCAGCATCTACTGAGCTGGTAACAAGGGGGCGAGGTAGGATAAGTAGCATGAAACCTCAAATGTCCCACCCTTCTGGCTCCTCCCCCATGCCTACTAGAACCCCTATCTAGCTGGCATCTTCACTGACAGTTCAGCATTGGTACCATGTGGCTGATGAAAGAGTTACTCTTTCCTATAGTCATGTGAGTTTGCCTGTCCCCTCTTTAGGGGAAGTTTGCACACCTCAGCTGCTAAGCTCTCAGGAGTTACCCCGATCTCAGACCATCTGGAAGCCCACTCTCAGCTTAAGCTCCCAGGGACTGGTGGTTACTGAATTGCTACTCACAGTCCCTCCTTCCTGATGGGCAGTCAGAGGTACCAAGGCCTGGGCTCCTCACTACCATCCTGAGAGCCCGATCTGAAACTAGGAGGTATACACTGGACACTGTCAGGGCCTACTTGCCTTAGATTTCCACTTCGGTCGCCTGAAGCCAAATGTTGGCCATCAGGACTGACCTGCATGACTCGAACCCCAGCTTTCACATCGACGGGTGTCCCATTCTTGTTCCCCCGGTCTGGGAAGTGTGACATGTCCTGTAGATGTTGGATGTCATTTTCCACATACACTACCTTCAGCAGGGTCTACAGGAAGGAGAGGGCTGAGGTCAGTGCCACAAGGAGCTCAGAAGCCCCTCTGAGATTCTGTGCCTTCCCATGACCCCCCTCTCCTATTTCATTAGCAACACAACTCCAATTCTGAGCTGGCAGTTTCACCAATCAGAATGATAATTATGCTTCCCTGCCTTCCTTGCAGCTAGATGAAGATGTGTGAATAATAAATTCTGGGCAATGAGACGTAAAGCAAACACACATTCTTCTGCTGTCTTTTCTCTACCCTGATGTCTGGAACCTAGACGGGATCGCTGGACCTCCAGCAGTGATAATGCATCATGAGGACAAGGGCCACTCCCTCAAAGAACAGAGTAGAAAGCCAGAAGGCCCTTGAGTTGCTAAGGGCTTACTGCAGCTGCCAAAATAGCCTGGACTGGTTACCTCTAGACTACTTTTTTTTTTTTTTTTTTGAGACAGAGCCTCAAGCTGTCCCCCTGGGTAGAGTGCCATGGCATTACAGCTCACAGCAACCTCCAACTCCTGGGCTCAAGGGAGTCTCCTGCCTCCGCCTCCCAAGTAGCTGGGACCACAGGTGCCCGCCACAACGCCCGGCTATTTTTTGGTTGCAGCTGTCATTGTTGTTTGGCGGGTCTGGGCTGGGGATTCGAACCCGCCACCTTAGGTGTACATGGCTGGCGCCTTAGCCGGTTGAGCTATAGGTGCCAAGCCTAGACTACCTTTAAGAGGAAGAAAACCAAACTTTTATCTCTTGTTTGAGTTTTTGTATTGTGTGCAGCCACACATAGCACGTATGTCATAGGTGCAGAAAAGAAGATGGTAACATTGGGTGGGAGTGTGGGGAGTAATAAGGCAATACTTGCGACTTGTGGAGCACCTGCTACACAGCCCTGTATCAAGGGCCTTTTTTGTTCCAGCCACACTGACCTCTTTCAAGTTTTCTAACTCACCAAGCTCTGTGCAGGCTAATCCCTACATGTGGAACCTCTCCCCTCCCCTTCTGAGCTCCTTCCAGTCCTCCATATCTCAGCTTAGTTTTGTCTTTCTAGAAGCTGTTCCTGATGTCCCAGACAAGATCACATCATCCGGTTATGTATCCTACTGACACCCTACCATTTTGTTTCATGGTGCTTATTGAACTTGTGATTATCCATGATTTGTACAATTATCAGTTCACTATCTGTTTCCCCACACTAGACTGTGTGTGCTACAAGGGCAAGAGAAGGGTCTAGCTCAGTCACTGTGGTATCCTCAGCATGCAGCAAAGCATCTCGCACAGACCTGAGAAGTAACTATAGAGGAAACGGCCGCATGACGCAGGTCTGAGCTCCCCAGGGAAGCTCCCTGGCTGCCCTAGCCATACGAACCAAAATGTCTCCCCGGCTTCCCATTATGGCTCTCCCAGCGTCCTGCCAGCACCCCTACCTGAGGCCTCACTGCGTGGCAGCTAGTCAGACAGGGGAAGCCCCTGCCTGGCTTGGCCCATCGGGTGCTCTTCCAGGGAGTTCTGACTCAAGACTTAGGGAGCAATTTCATCTCTGCTGGGTGTGTCAGGCTGCCAGGAGGGGCCGTGTCCACACACACCTGGAGAGCAGGAGCTGACTGGCAGAGAATTAGAGAAGACAGACCATGTCATCTCAGAAAGAAAGAAAAGGAGAGAGAGAGAAACAAGAGGAAGGGACATGGAGAGTGAGCCACTTTGGCCCCTAGTGAAGCCTAACGCCTAGGTTCCATAAGACTCCCTCCTGCCCCTGAATTCTAGCTTCAAGTACGTCTTGGTTCCTCTGACAGATGCTTCACAATGAAGCCACTCACATTGCTGAAGATGTTTTTTTGCCAGTGACAATCGGGGGTGCTATCCATGTTCCAGAAGCGAATGGTGTTGTCTGAGGAACAAGTCAGAAAAGATCCCGAAGGCAAACAAGCTCTCTGATCTTCAAACTCAGGATACACCTATAGTTCCCAGAGAACAAAGCAAAGCGTGATCCATTACGACCGCCTCAGTGGCAGCACTGTGATATAGGTTGCGTTTTGGTGGGAGAAAAAAGTAAGATAAACAGGGAGAGTGCAATACCTTCTGTGTTAAAAATAAGAAAAAAAAGAGAACACAAAAATGCAGCTAGGTGTGTTGGCTCACGCCTGTATCCTAGCACTCTGGGAGCCAACGCGGGGGGATTGTTTGAGCTCAGGAGTTCGAGAGAACCCTGAGCAAGAGCAAGACCCTGTCTCCTAAAAACTAGAGAAACTAGCCATGCATCGTCGTGGTGGGCGCCTGTAGTCCCAGCACCTTGGGAGGCTGAAGCAAGAGGATCACTTGGGACCCCAGTAGTTTGGGAATGCTGCGAACTATGACACCACAGCACTCTACCCAGGGCAACACAGTGAGAATCTGTATCCAGAAAAAAAAAAAAAAAAGAACACAAAATGTCCACATCCCACCTTTAGCCCAAACCTTAAATCTCCACAATTAAATTTTCTTTTTCTTTCTTTTTTTCTTTTTGAGATAGAGTCTCAGGTTGTTGCCCTGGGTAGAGTGCTGTGGGATCTTGGCTCACAGCAACCTCAAACTCTTGGACTTACGCAATTCTCTAGCCTCAGCCTCCCAAGCTGGGACTATAGGTGCCTGCCACTACACCCGGCTATTTTTTGGTTGCAGCCATCATTGTTGTTTGGCTGGATTTGAACCCACCAGCTCAGGTGGATGTGGCTGGCACCTTAGCTGCTTGGGCCACAGGCACTGAGCCACACAATTAAATTTTCAAGGAGTATAAGCAGCTCAGTCAAAAAATCACTTAAGTACAAAAGGAAACAAGCTACCATAAGTAAGAAGCAGCAGAAACAAGAGAATCTAGAGAGACTTCAAATATTGGAATTATAAGAATATAAAATAACATGTTCAATACATGTAAAGAAATAAAAGATAACTTTGACCAGATTAAAAGTATTTAGTCAACAAAAAATTATAGTGATTTAAACAAGTTGGGCCGAAAAAGAACAAAACAGAACTAATTCTAGTGGGGTGCCTGTAACTCAGTGGTTAGGTCGCCAGCCACATGCTCCAGGGGCTGGTGGGTGTGAACCTGGCCCGGGCCTGCTACCCACCACCACCACCGACAAAAAAAAATCTAGCCGGGAGTTGTGGTGGGCACCTGTAGTCACAGCTGCTTGGGAGGCTGAGGCAAGAGAATCGCTTGGGCCCAAGAGTTTGAGGTTGCTGTGAGCTGTGACACGATAGCACTCTACTGAGGGTGACAAAGTGAAAAAAAACAAACAAACTAATTTTAGAAATAAAAAATAGACATATTAAAAACAAAGATAAGGGGCAGCACTTGTGGCTCAAAGGAGTAGGGCGCTGGCCCCATATACTGGAGGTGGCAGGTTCAAACCCAGCCCCGACCAAAAACTGAAAAAAACAAAAAACAAAGATGAGACACAGTTACAAAGAATATTAAGTAGGTTGGGTGTGGTGGCTCACACCTGTAATCCTAGCACTCTGAGCCGCTGAAGTCAGCAGATCTCCAGGAGGTTGAAGCCAGCAGATCCCTTGAGCTCAGCAGTTTGAGATCAGCCTGAGCAAGAGTGAGACCCCCCTCCCCATCTCTACTTAAAATACAAAAAATTAGCTTGGCATTGCTGGAGGCACCTGATAGTCCCAGTTACTTGACAGGTTAAGGTAGGAGAATTGCTTGAACCCAGGAGTTTAAGGTGTTGTGCGCTAGGACGCCACCGCAGTACTCAAAGCCTGGGCAACAAAGCAAGACTCTGTCACTAAGGAAAAAAAAAGGAAATTTTTTTTTTTTTTTTTAGATGGAGCCTCAAGCTATACCCCTGGGTAGAGTGCTATGGCATCACAGCTCACAACAACCTCCAACTCCTGGGCTCAAGCGAGTCTCCTGCCTCAGCCTCCCAAGTAGCTGGGACTACAGGCACCCGCCACAATGCCCGGCCATTTTTTGGTTGCAGCCATCATTGTTGTTTGGTGGGCCCGGGCTGGGGATTCGAACCCATCACCTTAGGTGTATGTGGCTGGTGCCTTAGCCGCTTGAGCCACAGGCGCCGAGCCAAAAAAGGGGAAATTTAAAAACAGAACTAAAGACATTTAGAATGAAGCTCAAGGGAGCACGGAGACAATATATCAAGAGATTTAAAAACATGGAAGAGTGGTTTCTGGGAAGGTGATAGCAGTAACATAGATATTTTTTAATCAAAAATTCCACATAAAACCAACCAGATAGCAAAACCAAAGCCCCACATTTATAGCAAAACTAGGTTGACAAAGTATCCCTATAACCCCCAAGATACAAGCAGGTAGTGACAAACCACTACCAGTCACCAGACCTACATGTGATCAACATGTATGTGGGAAAAACAGAAGTAGGGAGGTATTTGATAGACCCAAGAACAGGACAACATCAAAGTAACCAATGGGGACTCATCGGACAGCACACTGGGCCAATCAGAAGAGCTGCTGAGACTGGGAGGTGCTATTCTCTCCAGCAGTAGTTGAGTACAAGCAGTTGGCAGTGAGGCTACAGAGGCTACAGCAGGTTGGGCTCACCAACTCATAAAACTAACCCATGAGGGTTCCCTTCTAGACAAAGCCTTACAATGAAGGGAAACTAAAAGTGGAAAAAAAAACTTTGATCACGACAGGGACAAGAGAGATTGTAAAGAAGATATTCAGATAAAAGTAGAGACATAACACATAAAATTTTAAAAATGTAATAATAAAAGGATTTCCTTTCGGGTGGTCTGGAACCAGATAGTACTGATGGCAGCACAACATAGTAAATGTACTAAATGCCACTGAATTGTATGCTTCAAAAGAGTTAAAATGGTAAACTGTATGAGATATATATATATATATATATATATCCCTCAATAAATGGGTGTCCAAAAGAAAAGAATACAGTACATAAAGCTAATGTTCTAATCACATATAGTATAACTATTTTTATTTTATTTATTTATTTCTTTGAGACAGAGCTCACAGCAACCTCAAACTCCTGGGCTCAAGTGATCCTCTTGCCTTAGCCTCCCAAGTAGCTGGGATTACAGGCACCTGCCTGGCTATTTTTAAAGATAGGGTCTCACTCTTGCTCAGACTGGTCTCAAACCTGTGAGCGCAGGCAATCCACCTGCGTTGGCCTCCCAGAGTGCTAGGATTATAGGCACCAGCCACTGTGCCTGGCCTATTTTTATTTTAGTTTTAAAAAATTATTATTTTTCTTTTTTTTTTTTTTTTTTT